ATCTTACTGCAGCAGTAGTTCATAAACTGAGCATATTTCCACTTTTTCCAACCAATTTATAGGCTGACAAACTATGAAGAGTACAAGAGTTGATGGGATAGGACATATTACATATGTCTGAGTCACTGAGGCCTTCAGTACTTGCATTTTCTTCTGAACCTCCGCTTCTTTAAGCAGGTTGATTTTAACCGACCATGGAGCACCAAATAATGAGTTGGATTCTCTGAAAGAACAGGTCAATCAGACTGATGTTAAAAGCACTCTGACCAGCGCTCCAGGTATCTTTAGAGATAGTTTATAGGCATATCTTGTACGTCACATACTGGATTATTGGATTATTTCAGAGCCTCAGGTACAGGATCATTATTATTGAAGAGCATTATTGTTATTGAAGAAACTCATCAAATTTTTTCAAAGTACACATTGATTGTTCTCTGGAAATCAACCAATTTCATGCTGTTCAGTCCCACATGCTGACCGGATTCAGTCGAACATTTTGCAGTATGGCCACCAAGCTAGAAGGCTGAGCACTGCAATGCACTTTGATGGATGTTAGTTGGTTGGAAGCAGTCAGCTTCCTACTGATTGCCTCCAACCAGCTAACATTTTCGAAGTACCTTTTACTTTCAATGTAACTGCAAAAGTCTACACCTCACTTTCGGCTATAGTGAATGTTTAAGGCACATTTAACAGATAAAATTTCAATATTTAACGTTTGGAAGTCGGTGTGGGAGTTTACAGAAATCGACTGATTTAGAAATGTTTCTCATCGTTGGCTGACAGCAGCTGGGGGACTAAACGAAACCTGGTGACATTCATTGTTTTTCTCATCCTATCTTAGGAATCTCAACTAATGTGGACACTATAAAAAAACCAACAGGCGGAAATCAAAGGAACAACTAGTTGATATAGACAATTGTAAACGAAGCTAAAAATCTAAAGAAAATAAGTTAAGATAGGAAAGAAATGGTATAGATGTTTACGATTTTCAAGACTAAAGAAGATATAGACTGTTGATTTATATGCATTGGTCCAATTGGTTTTGAATCACACTAAAAATCCCAGTTATATCAAGTTTCTCAAGCTGTGAATCTGCAACCTATTGTAGCAATGAGGCAAAAATCACAGACTTTACTTCATTAGTTCTATTTAATGCTCCGACTGCTTTTAGGTTTTCACTTTAATAGTTGATACCTAAACTGTTTGAAGCAGGTAACGTCTAGAGACGCTGAATGTAATCCAAATTCTTCATCCAACACCAGTCTTCAACCAGAAGATCTGATCCATTTTCTTTACCCTGCACTCTAAGCTGAACCCCAAAGTTTCTTCCTTGGAGTGTCGTGACATGTCAGCAATCCTTGAAAAATCAACTGTCAAGCATCGGCAACTTTCACATATCCTTCACTTCCATTATTCATATTTTATAGTTGTGTAGTAGGTCCAAGTGCACTTCTCATCAGTACATTGAGTTCTTAGTAGGCATTTGGGTGACCAATCTATTCTGCAAGTGGCTCAGTCGTTCAGTCCAACTGAATAGCTGAGTTTTATCAAAGAAAATATACCATATGCTTAAAATTAAGTATCTTCAAGTAAAATTTCTAAATTCACATGCAGAGCAGGTTTATATATCTTGCAGAACTAACATCATCTGTTATGCAACTATCCGAATCTGTAGTATGCGGCGTTCTTCATTGATTTTATTTTATGCAGACAAAAAAAAATGTTGTTTACTATTTCCAAGTATCCAGGATCTCTAACGAAATAATACTTTCTTAACAAAAACTCTAAGAATGTGAGTTCTTTTTCTGTGGCACATAGATTCGTTTCTAGCCCTTTCAGTTGGGCTGATACCTTTTTCACTTATGAATCTTTAAGTGATTGAGTATTTTAGCTAGCCTTTACATAACAGGTATATGATTTGTGGTGTAGTTAATGTATCGAACTGTATGTGACTGATAGGCGATGGTGTGAATTAGTTCATTTAAAACACAAAAGGACTGATTCTTTAACAAGTCTTTTGGTAAACAGATGGATATGAACATCGAACCATCTAATACAGTTACATATCTGTCAAAGTCATACTTCATGTCAATAAATTGGTGGGATGTTGACCATAACCAAACAAAGAAAGGAGTATTGGTATCAGAACACATAGGACGCTGTTAGACAGAAGACAAAGCGGTTTACCAGGGCAAGGGTGTTAACTTCTTCAAACCACTAAAATAAAATCTGTTATTGCAGAAAAAAGCTTTCATTAGTTTAATATTACTTATGAAAAACCCAATCATTTGGATATTAAGTTGAAATTCTTCGTAGCGGAATTATTCTTAAAACATTTGTAATTTACTACTTGTATCTAGTACTCTGTTGTTCGTGTTTATTTGATAATCTTTGAGTCTGCAACTTAATCCAACAATTCTCCGTTGTTTTATTGAATCAAATTGTTCTACCTCTACTGGCATATGGGCTCCTATGTGGATGCCTCGATATTGCCTGAATGTTAATTATGATAATTTGGTTGGTTGTGGCTAGCGGAAGAATCTAGGACGCGCATCCTAACCTATTTGAGACTCGTCAGCTGCATTTACCTGCACTCCAGTGATGTTGTTCCCACTGAGACTCGCTTCAAACGCCAAGGCGTTATCCACTATGCCATGGAGGAAAGATAGCAATTTCTTATACAACGGGTAGTAGTTATTACTAGTTATTGATGTACTTATAATTCTCCATTGGTTTATTGGATCGAATTATTCAGCCTCTAATGGCTGTCTTTCTTCCATGACATAGTAGGGAACGCCTTGGTGTTTGAAGCTAGTCTCAGTGGGAACAACATCACTAGGGTGCAGGTAAATGCAGCTGACGAGTCTCAAATAGGTTGGGATGCGCGTCCTAGATTCTTCCGCTAGCCACAACCAACCAAATTACCATAATATGCCTTTTGTTTGTCTTTTCGTTACGTCTCTACTCTTCATCAGAGACAGCAGTAATAATACTAAAGAGTAATACATTCTGTGGACAGAAGAGGAGTTTGTAAGTTTACCGGCTTCATTCAGGATTGAATATGCGATGACTGCCGGAGGAGAAACTAAAACTGAACCAGACATCAAGTTGTACATGATTTTGAAGTGGTCCATCAAGTGATTTTACCTTGTAGTAGCTGTCCTCACTTATTTTATTCAACTGACAACGGCCAAATCTACAGTTCTCCCAAAGAAATCCAATTGTTTTGCTGAATTCTAACTACTGGTCCTGAAAATTAAAAAAATGGGAATCCGTAGGAATGAAAGAGTCCAATTCAAAAGTTGTATAACTGCTTTGATTTGATTCAAAGCAGTAAATTGTAGCCAAAAAATCATTCAGACTAATTTCTTGTTTTGCGTTTTCCAAAAAGTAGTAATCTTAATAAGAGGCGATTGGCTGACTCATAACTATGCACTTCAGTCACACTGGTCATACACAAAACCAACTTACTTTGTGGTAATCTGAGCAATTTTCTATACCTGTGTACTCTTTGAAGAATTTCATACATGTTAGTTTCTTTGAATACAATAAGAATAATTTACCTAGTAGAATAATGTATATTCTCTTGTATCTATTCTAATCGCTTTCCACCTTTACACCAGTTAATGTGTAGGGTCGTGGGTTCATCATCTCTATTGCTTTAAGTTTCACGCTACTATTAACCTAACCTTAGATATTAGCAATCAGTCTGCGCAAAATCCAAAACCTCAGTGTAATGCTAATTTGCACTTATCCACAAGGCTTATCAGTGACCCTAAGGAAATTCATCTTTCTTTGGAGATTCAAGAAATGCTTTACTCACTGATAAAGTTAAGTGTTTCACCACAAAGCTATTTATCCTACAACTACCAACTCACTGTAGGACTGGATTATGTATACGATACATTATCTTCATTCTTAGATCTTAACAACTGCATCACTTACAATCCAATGACCAATTGATGTGTTATAAAATAACAGTCTGTGAGTCAGAGATTTAATTCTTTGATTTCGATCAAATGTATCTCTTCCCATTCTTGATGTCAGAGCTTGTATTTTCCTGTTGGCCTTCTCGATCCCAGTGCCAACCATTATGCATCACTATTATCGAACATATGTCTCCATTTTATCATAAATTTGTTTCCTTATAAATACTATTATTCCTTTCTATCCGTTTGACTTCAGTACCTATTTTATGGCATGACGTAATACGTTCTACAGATATGCTATGCTACGGGGAACTGGACTGTGTTGCAAGAGGGTTCAGGGTAGCCAGATCGAGATGTGGCACCAGTCCATACGGTCTCTGACTTTTGGTCTGAGTCATATGGGGAGATGTAGACTAGTTGGGGGACTGGGGTCGCAAAGACGACAGGAACCAATGGTTGAAGACTGTTAGTGAAAAGGCTGAAATTCGGTTTCAGTGGCTCAGATGTATTCACCCTTTGACGTCTTCTGAAACTTGAATCTTTGCACCAAGCTTTGTCTTAAGATTGTTTATTCTCTTATACAACTTTGTGCACTTTTTCATCAGCCTTCTTCTATCTGTTCTTTGTATACTACTGTAAAGTGTGGCAACTTGTAGGGATACACTTGTATGCGAGGTTCTACTTCGGCTTTATCTGTTTGTCATCTACAGTTGTAAGTTAAAGTTTCCCTGTCCTTTGGCAAAAACCATGTGCACATATCTTGGATGTCCACTTAAGTTCATGTTGATGGGTGTTCAGTAACTGATAGCAACTATCCTACGAACAAAAGTGTACAATTTACGAGATATACAACATCAAAAGTATTTGTGTACTGAAAGTTTCTGTAGGTACTTCACGTGCGCCTCATACTAAAGAACCTTAATTATACACCCAAGTAGTATGTTTCTATGATTAATTTTGTTTAAGACTGAAAGCAGTCAGTGGGAATTCTGGTGAGCATAATGAATATACATTATTTTATGTTCTGTTATAACTTAGCCTGAGCTACTAAATTTCACTTTTAAATTTCAGGTATGGCGTATTCATTACTTGCCGGTTTACCACCAGTCTATGGTTTGTATGTAAGCTTTCTAAGTCCTTTGTTCTATGCAATATTTGGACGTTGTGCGCAACTGTCGATGGGTAAGTTGTTGATACTTAAAACAAGTGAATAGATTATAACAGTTGAGCTGATCAGTTCATCACACATCTGTGATAAATTTTACTACTCTTTATACAGTCATGTCCATCTTTTACTAATAATTCAGGTGACCTGTACATGACTTCATATATACATGCTTTAATGCGTGACAAACTTAACTTATAGCTGACCTGTGTATATATACACACAAAATGGTTGGTGAAATTATAGACAACAAAGTGATTTTTATTGAATGAGTATCGTGATAAGTAGCATTGATGATCATCAAAAATTTGCATGGATAGATGGATGTCTTTCACGCGATCCATCACTGAGGTATCAAAGTTGCTCAATGCAAGCAAGTTCAGTAATTAACTGAATCTACCGATTTGTAACCCTATAAAATTGAATTTCTGACCTTTCAAACCAAAATACAGATTTTAGAATGCATAGTAACCTGTAGGAAATGATAAAAATTATTATATTTCAAAAAGAGAATTTCAGTTCGTTCTTAATCAGTGTTTTGTTTTACATCTATCCATCTTTTTCAGCCGAGTTGAGCTACTAAGTACTCAGTACTTCTTTAAGGACTTTCAATTAACAATGCCTTTCTATTTTCGTGACTTGGTTTAGCTAAGTAACCTGAGGAAATTAGAAAAGTGTAGATAATGAACAATAAATAGACTTTAGATATCAAGTTGCTCGATAAAATTCCACTATAATTGAAACAACGTTACTTTTTATCCAAGACAGAATAATGAACAAAGCATTTTATGCCTCACTTAAGAGTGTTTGCAGTTATTGTGAGTAAACTACTGGATGGTATTTCTGAGTTAAGTTCACTGTATCGTTGATTATCCCGCTGACAACAAGATGATGTTGGGACTGTCGCGAAAACTTCGAATATATTGGTTTAGTTAAACGCAAAAAACGTTTATGAACTTGAATAGAGAATTAAAAACGATTGGAGCAGAATAAAATAGCGCCATTTCATTTCTATGGTTTTTTGTCAGGCGTTTATAACCTAAAAACATATCACATAAGAATTACAACATACTTACCTGCAGTCAAGAATTTAGTTAACAGGAAACTAGATCGTTTACTGAAGAATACAAACATCCGGATGAAGTTAACAAGACATGCTTAGAGGCTTCAGTTATACGTGTTTCAACAGAGATTTCGAGGAAAGAATATGAACGGTAATAAGATTGCACAAGAAGATTAACAAATCAGATAGTTGATCCATAAGAGATAAGCCATGTAATGATAGGATGGGGTGAACTCAGTCAGTAGAACGATCATCAGAATTACTTGTGAACAGAAAAACGTTTAGGTCAAAGATTTAGTCATCAAATAAGAAGAAGGGTAAAATATTCGGTTACCATCCACTAAAGTGTACTGCGATGATGAGTCTCCTAACTTAGTGGTAACATTACAAAATGGTCGATAGATGTCGGTCAGCACTCAGAACTAGAAACATGAAATCGGCTACTCTCTGGTGACTAATTAGCGAATGACTAGACTCCCATAATGTTCCTTGGTTATACTGGCAAGACAAAGAAAAAAACTGTCATACACAGCTACCTGCTGACGACTTTCTAACAATGCACAATATAATAATACACCCAAGTGTTCTGTCAATCACTGATCACATTCGACATCTCGGTTACCATCTTGGTAACGAATTTATGCACAGAAAAATGTTAGCATGATGTATAACCAAGTAAGAGAATCAGAATGCAATAATAAAACTCGACAATTTTAAGTGTCTGTAATACCTATCAGTTGTGTGCCAAATAACCAACGTTGACTTCGCAGAAAATGAAGTCGACAGAACTGCAATAATAAACTGTTATTCTGTGTTGAAATTGAAGAAAATACTTTGACATAACAGGAGTTAACGAACTTTTCAATTTGATATATATATATATATAAGATATATGAAGAAAAGTTTGCCAAGTTTTTATTTACCTATGTTGGGCAAAAAAAATCTTCTGATATGCATTATTCTTCAAAGAATTTAATTAATGCTTGGGTAAACTCATTACAGCCCACTTCCCGCTTCCTCTCGGAACTCTGTACCTGACTTCTAAGTAACTGATTTTTTGCTGCATGATACGCAGGCTGTACTTTCAAGGTAGTGGTGATGGAACCCCTGAAATCTCCTCATGTTATCCACTTTCGATGTACGTTTTTAAAAGTTATATAGCAGGACAGCACCAGCTGAAGTGCAGTACACTTGACCCTTTATAGGCAGTAGGATATCACGGCTGTAACATGAATGAAGTAACTTGGAAAAAGCCAAAAGAGCCTTTTTTTATCCGTACAGAGATTTAGTAAGTCGCTGATCCACTGGGAGTTATTAGGCTTCCCATGTAAGTGAAGTGATCAGCGCGTTCAATCACCTCACTTCCTATTGTAAGATGAGGTAGCATTGCAGACATGTTCTGGTACGATAATTTGAATTCGGATGGTGAAAAAACGCATTTCAAACATTCTCAAATTGTCACTCAAGATTTTTAGAGAAATCTGAATCTTCTCAGAATCATTACCTAACACAACTACGTGATCCGCGTACTCTAGGTCTTCTCAAGAGTTTCCTGTAACAAGGTCTCTCCTGGCAAAGTCAGACGATGAGACACAGACCTCCATAAGCACTTCTTCGATAAAATTACGTAATAGTAGAGAGGGTGAACATCCTTAATGAAAACTACTCGATGCACACAACTCACCCGATGACTAAATATAGGCTGTAAGGTGCCCATGGGTGTTTCAGTACAGAGTCTTCAGTGGAGTAGTGTATATACTTTGATCCCATTTTAGTGAGTGGTACTGCATAAGACCTCTCGTTCAATGGAGTCGAATGCACTCACCAAGTTATGAAGTACAGCTGGTGTCAAGCACCGATAGGTGTGACTGTATTCTAAAACCTGACGGAAGGTGAAGTTTTATTTGGTAGAATCACGAACAGATTTGAAATCTGCTGGGATTTCTCAGATTTCCTCTTGCTGACATCAATTTGCATGTCCAGTGTTTATAGAACGTACAACCATAGACATGATACTCTTCAGATTGGTTCCCCTGTGGCTATCACAGTAGGAATTCTGGTTCACTTCTTGAAGACTGAAGTAGTCAGTCATTGGGACTAGTGAAGGGAGATCCTATCTGATTCCCATAAGCCCACTGGCATTCCAGTTAACCTAACCAATAAATCCACTACCACCATCTCTAACTCCCTTTTGTACTATCCCATCTGGGATTGCTGTCGCTCCTTGTTTCAAGTTACAATCTTCTCGATTTCTGTTAGTGTTGATGATCTTATCTAAATATTCTATTTGTGATCTGAATGGATAGCGTGCAACAGCATAGTAGCTGCAGACCAGTTAAATTTCTTTGAAGTAATCCAACCATCTTTCTTGCAACTGAGTTACAGACGCATCCTTCTCCCCCATAGTCCCACTACCCATTGACCCATTTCGCGTAGTTTCCTCAGCAAGTCCCGACAACTGTCTGGGGTTCTCAACTGCCATGGTCTTACAATGTACTAATTTGTATGACCACCTTATTTGGAAGGCCGATTTAATCAAACGATCTTTTTGGATTGATGCATTTATTTCAATATTTATTACCTATCCATTTTAAAGCATCAGTTGACAGTTCACACAGTCTTCAGGCGAGACAACACCCAACTTCCTCTTATTTTCTGGTGACAAATGAATACCTGTGTATATTGTTCTTCTCCAACTGGAATGAAGAAATCCGAAATCTCATTATTTCTTTCGACAATTTCACACATCATATATTCACTATAATGCTGTAAACCACTTATTCTTGATGAATCTTTAAACCATTAATATGTAATTCAACAAAATGTTCATGTTTTAGATCACTTAAGATAGTGACTTGGAGTAAGATCAAGAAAGTCATATGCGTAACAAACAAATCACAAAACCCTCATCTTTATTGCTGAAAGCTGGGCATGTCAGACAGGTATATTTGGACTGACACAAATATACAACCGAGACAGCTGTGATTACACACTTCTGAGTTTAGGGAAACAACTGGAAACTAGAAATTCACGAGGATAGGATGGTTTTGTGAATTAAATCAGACTACTTGGTAGTAGTATTATCCTGCACATATAATTTTGATGGAGGATTAATTTCCCAGTTTTGTGCACACGCAAACGTACAATTTTAACCGAAATATAATTTGGCGAAGTTCGTTAATAAAAAGAAACGTATTACATTGGAAAAAATCCTCCAGATGTAGGAATTATATCACTTTATATCTATCGGCTTGTAAACTATTTTGTAAAATTCCTGTTATATGTACTTTCCAAGTTCATTGATTCCTAGAGCGTCACATGAGAATTTTTCTTCTCTATAAATCAACTAGTTTGTGCAGTGTAGCTAAACCAGTTAATATGGGATAACCTTGACACAGAAGGTGACATATGAGATACCTATGATCACAGGATTTACGAAAACATACATTTCAAATAGGTCACAATAGCAATTTGAATAATAGTCGCTCTCAGAAGACTGCTTGTTGGACCAATTTCGTAGCATAACTTAAAAGGTTTCTTTTCACTAAATATGTAAAGCAACAATGACTTCAGTTTACTTACTTGGGGAATATTACGATTTAAATGTCGTTTTGATATTTCTGTATTTGGATTAACAGATAAGTTCTAAATCCTAAAACAGATGAAATGATTTGACCTTTCAGGGCTGCTTCACTAAAATAGGTAAGATAGTTAACCTTAGGTAGGAAAATGCATATGTCAGTTGGAATCCCGTTGTCTGTTGTTTTTTCACTGTTTAGTTGGAGGGTTAAAACACCTCGAGAAGGCACGAACATGCACCGAAATGCAATCGCAGATACCGTCTAACCACTCACTGAAAAATGAGCTCTATTCACTGCTTTTCATTCTCCTGAGAATCACCTGGTCTCATGGCTGTAATAAACATTTTCTGTAAGTATGTAGAAGGGTTAGAACAGATTAGTTGACACTGTAACAACTTCAGCCTTACATAATGACATTTTAGTCAATTTGTACGACGATGTACTGATAAGCACCTCTTCCTAGCAGGTACTAACCAAAAAGCAAGTTTTCCCTATGTTTTTCAGTCAGTATGCTCTAAATCGAAGCGTTTTACCTAACTTTGACAATTGGTAAATGTATGGGTGCCTCTAACAAAATGCTGACGTCTGTACTAACCAAGTATTTAAGCTAATAGACTGATGTTGTCTTTTGCAATGTATGAAGCGGATATTACTCCAGAGGTGAGAGTAAACCTGCATCTGCTTTCATGGCAGCTTTCATCACGAGTTATTTTTCATGAACAGTGTTTATCTAATTGGAGCTTAAAATTGATTGGCAGCTTTTAACATCAGAACTTGGGCTGCAAATTTTACCCTATTCATCAGTTCAGCTAGGAGTACTGTAGTGTACATACAACTTCCAAGCTGAGGTAACTGACCTTTGTTTCGCTAGTGTTAGTTGAATTTAGACTGGGTACGGTAACTTAGTAGCTTGCTGAATAACGTCTTTTTTCTGCAACTTCATAGGTGCACACAACATCTGAAACCCGACTGCATCTTCTTCATTGGAGCTGTGGCAAATAAATTCAAGTAGCCATTTAAGACAAGCATGACATCTAACAGAATAGCTTGAATAAGTGAATCAGTTTCATACTGCAGTTCACCATATCGATTACAGTTTATACTTCTGTGGCAGCCGCAAAGCAACGTTAAATGTTGTCTAGTTACTGAAAACACTTACTAGTGAGAATTGTGTCCAGGTAACTCCAGACTGCTTCTACTCAAGCAACTGCAGTCCCAAGTATCGCAAGTTGAAGTTATCTTAGAAGATGAATGACCCGTAACTTATTATTCTCCAGCGAATAAGACATACGTTTTTTATAAGTAAAATATTGAAGACAAAAAATAAATATTGATGATGAGCTGTTGCACATACGAACTGTGATAAATCTGAGGTGAATGAAGATCGATATCTCCTCCTTAAATACAATTCAAAACAAAATACTGTACTTAATGCAGTTGTATACAGGATGAAATGCATTTCAAATAGGTTATTTATGATATCTGGGTGTGCAGTGCCGTTTTATGCGGGTTTTTTTACCCCAGAGGATGAAGTGATTTATATGGCATTACAAAAAGACCTATCAAAAAGCAAGAAACCCTGTCTAGCGATCCCATACCACAACAGACTTCCAAATATAGTGTACTTAAGCTACAAAAGTCAGTAAATGAACTCAGTGTCAACAATCGTCTGATGAGAGATTAGTTTATAGGCAAACGTTCTTTCTCACTGAAAGATTGAAAATTTCCGAGATGTGTGCTAGTACACGACCATTATAGTTAAGGAGATAAGAAGTGTTAAGTATATTTACGAACTTTTATTGATTTAGCCTAGATTTTTCTATATCCTCCCTCTTACTGGAAACTTATTTTCTCTTTGTTTATTCAGTAGGATAACTAAGAATCCCCTGGATTTATTAATTATTGATTTCAGGTACATTTGCTGTTATCAGCCTACTGATTGCTGGACCTATTGAACAGTTTAGTTCAAAAGTTGAGTTACATTACCGTAATTCTATTATAAACACCAACTTTACAAACGCCGACCTTACAATGGATGACAAGCTAAAATTGAGTGTTGAGCCAAGGTTATTAGTAGCAATAACACTAACATTTCTTGTTGGAATTATGCAGGTAAGTTTTGATAGTTATTTATTTAGAGTCCTTTTTACTTGTCATTTGGATGTATATTCTAGCAGTTCATTCTGTATTATCTTCTTAATATGATTATGAGGTTGGGCATGCGCAGAATTTTGAGTATGATATTTATAGAATTTCTTCACACCATCTTTTGTCGACTGTTAAGAACTGATTATCCTTTTTTCATAAGTAAAATGGGGCACTGAGTCGATTGCATGCACATACAATGAAAAAGATGACATCTGAGTGTGGCCGGTTTAGTTTACCTTGATTGAAAGAATGTATCTTTAGGCAGGAAGATTAACTTTTGTTGATAACATAGTCTCAATATGGGTAGAACCACGGACCTCATAATTCCGTTCTGTATCAGTTCAGAAATAAAGTCTGATTGCTAAACAGATTTCTGATTTACTTGCTTCAGTCTCCTACTGGTTTAGGTATACATCATGTAAACAAAGAACATAAGACTATTTGAATTCCGTTTTTATCAAACCAGTTTTCATGCTACAGTTTCTAATTGTAGTTTAAAGACACCTGGAAGCTGATAGAGGAGAAGAAGATGGCGAAGCAGAAGATGAACCAGTGCAAAGATGCACAACGAAAGGAAGAACTGAGTACAACGTATAAAACACTGTAGAAAGAAGTGAAGAAAAGTGCGCGCAAAGACAAAAGACACCTCTATGACACATTGGCAAGCGAAGCAGAACAGGTTGCAAGCAGAAGAGAGACACCTGACAACACGGTATCAAATGACCAGGTTACTCTCTGGGAGGGAAGAGATCAACGCAGATGAAACAAATAAAGCACAGTGAAGGAAACTTAGTTACCAAAGAGGGAAAACAAAAGAAACGATGGGCTGACCACTTCAAAATACCCTTGAATCGACCAACCCCAACACCTGTAACTCGTCCAGAAATATCACCAGCAACGGCAGAACTACGCGTGAAAACAAGCCCTCCGACAAAAGCAGAAGTCCTGGATGCCATAAGACTACCGAAATCCAGGAAAGCAGCAGAACCAGGTGGAATTCATCCAGAAGCACTGAAAACAGACGCAGAGACAACAGCATACATGCTCAAACCACAGCTGCAAAAGGTTTGCAAGGAAGGAAGGAAGGAAAGGTACCCGCCAGTTGATTGGAAGAAGGGCTGCCTTATCAAACTCCCAAACAAGGGAAACCCGAGTCTTCTCAAGAACTGCCACGTAATCATGCACCACCCCTGTCCACCCAAAGCAAAACATTATCCCGCACCATACTGGAGAGATTAAACGATGCGCTGCATTCAAAATTACGGGTGGAACAGGCTGACTGGCTGGCTAGCTTCAAGAAGAACAAATCAGGTGTGCATCGAATGGCAACGCCACCTTGTGCTACGCATCATCATAGAACAGAGTATAGAATGGTAGTCAAATCAACTCTACCTCAACTTCATAGACTTTGGAAAGGCCTTGCTTCGACAGCGTCGAACGAGAAGTAATTTATCAGGCAGTTGCTTCAACACTCCACCGTTTGAATACAACAAACCTTTATCATCTCATTCAACAGCAGCTATATACTGTATGGTGAGACATGTCGAGTGATTCACAATGGATTGCTCAGTGATGCCTTTGAAGTGAAGACAGGTGACAGGAGTAAGACAAGGCTGCCACCCACTATAATCACTGATGATCTTCCTGATTGTGGTCGACTTGACTTGACTTGACTTGACTGGACTGGACTGGATCATGCAGCAGACAACTGTGAGAAGTGAGAAGATGGGCATACGGTGTCTGGACCGATGAAAAGACTCCAGAAAAAGATTTGGATTTCGCCAACGATGATGATTTATCTCTAATGACTTGTCAAACAAACTCGAAGATGTACAGGTGAAAACTAACGAGTTGACAGAAGATGTAGGCCAACGAAGACGGGACTTCCTTCAGGTGAACGTAGCGAAGACATAGGTGATGAAGATACCCAACCAACAACAGCATCAGCAATGAGAGGCACCAATCACCATGAATGGGAGAAAGCTAGAGGAAGTAGTCTCTTTCATCTACCCACCTACCTCGGCAGGCAAGCAGGCAGCATCGTTTCAACTACTACAGGCGGCACAGGCACAGACGGGAATGTCAAAACCAGCCAGTATCGGAAAGACAGCAAGACAGGCGTTCGTTAATCTGAAATCAGTGTGGAGATCTATTACACTGGACTGCACTCAGCATGTGGAACAAGATCCGGAGTTTCAACACCAATGTCAGTCAAGTTATTGCTTCTATATGGTTGGGAGACTTGGGGTGTCATGAAAGCATTTGCAACAAACTACAGATATACGGCATCAACAACTGCTGTCTACGCCCACGCGATACTGAAGATCAGATGGATGGGACGGAATACTAAGAATAAGCAACAAGGAATTCTGGCTGGCTGGCTGGCTGGCTGGCTGGCTGGCTGGCTGGCTGGCTGGCTGGCTGGCTGGCTGGCTGGCTGGCTGGCTGGCTGGCTGGCTGGCTGGCTGGCTGGCTGGCTGGCTGGCTGGCTGGCTGGCTGGCTGGCTGGCTGGCTGGCTGGCTGGCTGGCTGGCTGGCTGGCTGGCTGGCTGGCTGGCTGGCTGGCTGGCTGGCTGGCTGGCTGGCTGGCTGACAACCAACCAACGAACCAACCAGTGAAGAGAAAACCCATTGCCCAACAAATATGCAGAAGAAAGTGGAGATGAATTGCATTGGATTGGGCATACACTGAGAAGGCTGACTCGGGACATCACGCGTCAGGCCAGCCCATGCCCTCGAGTGGAATCTAAAGGGTAAATGACGAGTTGGTCGTCCGAGGTGAAGGTGACATGAAGGAGATCGTGTGAGGAAGAAATGGAAGGTTGTGGGCAGTGGTGGAGCCAGGTTGAAAGGATTGGGGAGAAGAGAGTGGAATGGAGGTGTGCTACTGAATCCCTATGTTCCACTAGGAACCCAAGGGGAAAAAATAATAAACCAACTGGTAAAGGGTTCAGTCTTTGACCATTCATCTGATGTTCAGGATGACTTCAGGTTAACAGTTCGGCACATAAAGTGAAATTATTATTAGGTTACCGGCTGTGGCTTGTAATGTGTTTGATTAAAAATTCAGAACTGATAAGCTCAAACCTAATCACCATATAACTTCTCTTATAGAACAGTTTATCCTTTCCGTACAAAATTTCGCAAATATCTTCATGTTACTTGTAAAATTGTGAGTATATTTGGAAATATCGTTGCCAAACAAACAGTCGAACACTTTTGTCCTGAACAATGTATGCAAACTGTTAAATTAAATGAAAATAGTTGTCTGATACAAACTTACTAATCCATTCAACCTTTATTTTATGTTATACATTCATAAACTCGACTTTACTTCATTTGCAGAGTTTTCACTCCCTTGGCATACTTCAAAAGGACAAAAATTTGTCATCAGTGAATACCGTTTAAGAAGCAGTAAAAAATATTGGTAACGGTGTTCTATAGAAATATTCTCTGAATTGAAGTTGTTAGTGATATTACCAGTTCAACAGTAATAAATAGTATCCGTTGTATAAGAGGTGGTTGTCGTGCCTTAGAGACCTAGTGGATAACGTGCTGGGCAATGAATTTGAGTTCCAGTGGGAACGACATCAGTTGCTAGGACCCAGGCAAACCCAGCTGACGAGTCTCAAATAGGATGAAACGTACGTCCTGCATTCCGGTGCTATCCAAAATCAAGTAAACTACCAGTTCAAGTCTACATGAAGTGAAGAGACCAATTTGTTAATTATTACTGACTGCACATCTTTCTTGTATCGAACTTGAATTTTACTGCTGTTTCCGTCTTGGTTTTTCTTCTTTTCATCTAAACCAAAGTTGTAATGACCCGATTTACCAGTCTTCCATTAACACCTTAAACCCATAAGGAGAATATCCACTAGAGCATAAGTGACCGAAGACTACAGTAGCAACAGATTATTTTGTGAAAATTAGCACCAGTACCAAAACAAAACCTGAAAAACTGACATAAAATTCAATGTCATCAGTTTACATCATGATTTTAGTCGATGGAGCAGTATGCATACGTGCGTAAATAAATATCTAGTAAACTGATTGTTTTGAAATTCGTGTGCTTCAGTAGACGAGTTAAAAGATACTTCATATATATATATATATATATATATATATATATATATATATATATATATATATATATATATATATGAAGTATGAAAGGTAAGTCAGTCTACGCAAAGAACTGATGTATAGTCACTCAATTCACTCTTTGGTTGTAGACACTTTCAAGCCTTTGAAATAAGGTTAAAAGTGCAGTAGTCATCGTGGTTAAGATTCAGTTTTTTGGGTTACAATAAGAAAGGATAGGGTTTGTCTTTGAGGATATGTATATAGTCCTGCTCCCCCTCCCCCTCTACTTACTGAAATTCGAAACCGGATATAGTAATATGTAAGTATGTTGAACTTGAAAACATCAGCCTAATTTTGTATTTTCAAAATGGATACTTATGAATTCATTGACTCGGACAATAGGTTATTTCATTCAGGCTGAGCTAATAAAATTCTCTGCTAAAAATTGAAAGGTATAAAATATTTACTACATCTTATTTACTTTAAGCCAAAGTCAAAATAATTACTACAATTTCATGTCCCCAGGTAATGAAACCGAGTTTACTCGATGGCAGTCTCCAAAGTATTTGAGGTTGTTCTGTTGAAAGTAGTAGGTAGGATATCTAGTATTACGGCGTTGATTGTTACAACTTTATGTAGATACATATATGAATAGCGGAACGCCAATTCTCTTGAAATCTCATACATCCAATAGAGACGAGCGCCAACAATCAAGAAATCTAGATGCAGGAATTTGAGTAATTCTTTTAAATTTAGTGGAAGGTATTGAAAAAAGAGGATTGGTTGCACACGGAGTATTTTACTGACTTAACTTCATTTTTGAACCAATTTCTAGTTCAACAAATGTATCCTTGCAATTGGTACTTGCCAGGCTACAAGCCCTAGACAAACACTGCACCTTTTAAACAGATAAGCTTAACAAATTTACTGTAACATGACCAATTCGACCAAAATCGTTAACAAGGCCTTTAGGGATAAAATGTATGGTGATTCATTGTTTCAGATGCTGAATTTAGAATAATGTAGAACTTCTTGTTTACTCCAGAACACTTATCCTGTACATTATAGACTGTAAAAAGTATATATTCTCATCATCTTCATTTGGATTTCAATAATTCATACTCTGCAAAAGATGTTTTTGATTTCACTTTTTGAAGTTCCACAATAAGTAGTTAAGCACTGTGATAATGGAATCATGAGAATCCTTACCACATGTTATTTGCTGGATCAAGTGTACTTTATCGATATCTTCCATATGATAAAGCAGCCTGTCTCCTATGCTCATAGTTCTGTGCTTATTGTTGGCCTCCTTTGAACTCAAGCTTTACTGGAAGAAAGTGATATATTTCGGTACACAGAAAATCTGCTCGAAGGCTTGCATAGGAAGCGTGTGAAATTGCCCACTTATGATATCACTTTGTATGCATCTGACCAAGCCAATATACTTTTATGAAAGTCATGTGAGTAGGAATCATGAAACAGAGGAAAGTATGTCTCTGTTTCTTCCATTCTATAGTGCCGATTTTCGCACTTTTATGTCCTAATTACAGTGCTCATGCTGATATCACCAATGGCTAATGATTATTTTTGGTTTCCACTTGTGTATGACGCATTAATTTGTTACAGGCAATATGCACTGTAATGTTCATGAATCATTGTCGTTTAGGCTAATGAAACTAAATAACAAATGAGACAAAACTATCGGATTTTAAGGTTCAGAAATGGCACAAAACAACACAAAGTTTCTGTGTAACGTTAGATGGTCAAAATAGAATATTTTAGAGAATTTTACTCATGTGGATTAATAAAATCTTTAGGGTTCAAAACAAATTCTATCCCTGGTTCCAGTCTCAGTGGGAACAACATTATTCACTGGAAGGTAGCTACATCCAGTTGACGAGTCCTAAATAGGACGGAAACGTGTGTCCTGGATTCCACTGCTAGCCACTATACACCATTATATAAATTCTGTTCAGTTCGATGGTGAACTTCACGCTGATAAATACTGACATGCATAGACAGAGGAAAAGATAACACACAGAAAAAACATTGTAAGGTTTATTGTGAGAACGCTAGTGTGTGTATGTGTAAATGAAGCAGTTGATGAATCACAATAATCAATGAATACTTCCTTATTAATAGACTATGCGGGATAGTATTTTATGGTGGCTTCTTTACTTCTTAGGAGTGAAGGTTGAATAAGAATCTAGGTCACTATGATTCTGGAAACCACAACCTCTGTTTTATCCACCTGATCTTTCAAATAAGCTATTACCAAACAAGTTTTGACTTTTTTTATGACACTGAGTGTCTCGACAGCATAAATTTGAAGGATAGGCATAAAACTGTTTGGCTGGAATTTCGACACTGCTGTACTCAAGTCAACTACGAATGGGCATTCACTAATTATTTTAATCACCTGGTTGCTTATTTGCATGCTAGGAAGCTGGATGCAATCACCAGAAAGTCCTGCTTGTCGACACTCCTTAGCAAGATGCTTCTTCAGGAGGACAATCATGACTAGAATGTCTCAGTTATAAAGTCTATGACTGCAGCATTGTATGACATGGGTCCGGATCCACGGCAATATGTCAATTTCTTGAAGGTTACAGACATACCTTGATTATGAGTGCAAAAAAACATGAAAACCAAGTCCAAGGCTTCCCACTGATTGCCTCCAATCAGTTAGCATCAATCAGAATGTACCGTGAAACTGAGTCTTCAAGTTTGGTGAACAAATGATCGATCGAGTTCAGTCAACACTCCACAAATGGACAACATGGAATTGGTTACTGTCTAGTGATTAGTCAATCTATGTACGGCCGATAACTAGAGCTGAGAGGAAATCTAAGCCCTACAGAAGGGTTTGAACCAGGGGGATCAGAATGACTTAATTGAACACAGTGGCAGAACTGCTAATCTATTCATCCACTAAGTTGGCTTCAAAACAACATCAGTTAACAAGGTTCAAACACCTTTCAGTTGAATAGGACACTTTATTACTTCTAATAACTCTATAACGTGGTTAACTACTATTACTTTGACTGAATTTCATTGTTTATTTGATGAAAAGTCATAGTTAATATCTAATTTACTGGGATTATCTATTTCCTGTAAATTCTGTCCGGAGTTAAGTATTAACTGAACCCAACAGATCTGACAGTAGCAATAAATCTATTTCAACAACATATCACTTAAAGTGAAATCTATCTTGCAGTTGAGAGACCAAAACATCCAACTGTCAAGAAGAACCCTGTTTCCCTGCACCTAACATTCAAAGATAATGAGACATCTGAAGGATTGACAGAAAAACAAAAGCTGCACTGAGAAGGAGCTTCATTGCTGCCAGACTGATCTCAGTTTACAATACATTATGCTCGATAACACAGTCGAAAGTAGACAAATACCCATCTCGCGTCAACTTGAGTTGCGTACATCAATTCACCTGTGCTTATGGAAGCAAGCACGTAGGACGGGACGAAAGAAGGACACCTACTCGATTTTATGAGCATATTCCGAGAAATCTGTGTGTGAATGGTAGCAAAATCTCTAAGATCGCAATCTTCAGGTCCCTGATGGAAACACGACATCAAATAGATGTTTCTCAGTCCTCTAGGATAATCACCGGACAAAAACGCCATGTTTATTACAGTTTCCAGAAGACGGAGGTGATGAAGATACCCAACCAGTTACCATGAACGGGAGAAAGCTAGAGAAAGTAGTCTCTTTCACCTACCCACCTACCTAGGCAGGCAAGCAGGCAGCATCGTTTCAACTACAGGTGGCACAGTCACGGATGAAGATACCGAAGCCAGGACCGGAAAGACACCAAGACAGGCTTTCATTAATCTGAAATCAGTGTGGAGATCTATTACACTGGACTGCACTCAGCATGTGGAACAAGATCCGGATTTTCAAAACTAATGTCAAGTAAGTTAGTGCTTCTATATGACTGAGAGACTTGCGGCGTCACGAAAAGCATTTCCGACGAACTACAGACATTCATTAACAACTGCCGCCTACGCTCACTCGATACAGAAGATCAGATGGCCAGGAAGAATAGGCAATAAGGAACTCACTCTGGCAACGAACCAACCAAGAACCTATTGCCCAACAAATATGCAGAAGAAAGTGGAGATGAATTGCATTGGATTGGGCATACACTGAGAAGGCTGACTCGGGACATCACGCGTCAGGCCAGCCCATGCCCTCGAGTGGAATCTAAAGGGTAAACGACGAGTTGGTCGTCCGAGGTGAAGGTGACATGAAGGAGATCGTGTGAGGAAGAAATGGAAGGTTGTGGGCAGTGGTGGAGCCAGGTTGAAAGGATTGGGGAGAAGAGAGTGGAATGGAGGTGTGCTACTGAATCCCTATGTTCCACTAGAAACTCAAGGGAAGAATGATAATAACAGAAGCTCTTGCTATCCAAAATTTTCAACCTGACCTATGTACTCAGAAGGAGACTGGTAACTTTATGTAATTTCTGCATGTGTATGTACATATTCTTCTCTTTCCTTTTGATTGCATCAACTCTTCATTTATTGCCCAGTGACTGTTAATCAGTCAATGCATTTCCTGTTTTTCATGTAATTACGTAACCTATTAGCCATCAACAGTCCCTTCCTTTACACTGATTTTCGTTTGTTATCCCCCCACTACACAGCTCCAGGATTTTCCATCTCATCAGATGTAAATTGCCCATGATTTTGACTAAAATGTGTAACTATGAATGCAGTATTTCCTTGACTCACCACCTTATCGTCAATCCTGGATTTCAAATCTCCATTTATTTCTACATATTTAAAGTATGTCATACCGAATTTCAGTGGTTGTAGTAGACACATTTTGCTGACGATTATTTTTTGTCTACAGATGCTAACTAGTAAATTATTTGGACTATTTCGCATCTTAGGATAGATTAAAACGATTCAAAGCGTCTAACTACTGAGCACTGAATTGTTTTAATAGAACATTTTCCATCTTACTCTATCTATTTCTCTCTCTTTCTTATCACTCATTTTAAGCTTATCATTGGGTTCTGTCAACTGGGTACGCTTACATCGTATTTAGCTCCAGCAATGGTGTCTGGTTACACATCTGGTTCAGGATATCACGTACTCAGCAGTCAGATTAGCTCGTTATTCGGTGTGAAAGCTGCTAAAAAGTACCAAGGACCTGGATCTTTTTTCTGGTTAGTTATTATCACTGTGATTGTTGTTTCAATTTTACTTTAAAAAAATATTAATAGCCCTTTTTGAATCATGAAAGCGAACACACAATGAGACATTTAAATCCAAGGAATTCTTGATTTTCTGTATTTACTTGTATTTAAGGGATATGATCATCGTTTTGCCTGACCTCAAAACTATAATTTGCACCAGCGTTATGTAAAGGATAATAGTTCACATATGTTTCCACAAGTGTTTTGCATCTGTTACTAGAAATTGAAGCGAATATTTGTAGCTCTGGGTGTGGACGTTTCGAGTGAGTTCCTCTCTGAGCTAGGACTTTAGTTGCCATACGTTTCAGTGTCATGCTCTACATCATCTTTGGTGCATCAACCCTTCAAAAGAAAGTGAAGCAGTTGGTTTTGCATGGATACTTATAACGTGATAATTTGCCTGTGTGCGGTTTGATTGGTCACTTGGTGAATGAGTGGGCGTATTGTGAACCCGAGTAATTAACTTCTTGTCTCTAGTTTTCTAGAGCTCAGAGAACAACTCTCCGTGAACATATGTTTCTCTCTTACTAATAAATTAACCTGCCTGAAACACATTACAAATCTACTATTATTGGCATCAAGCAGTTTGATTCGCTGAAATGTATATGATTAAATAATTACAGCCCGCAATCATAAGCTTATTCACTACCTAGTTTATGAACGAAAATAATGGCCGATCACTTTTATCCAATCAACGACGAAGATACACAGGCTATGATATCAAAAACTATACTATCCTATTGTATGATGAGTGGCTGCCGTGAATCAGTGGCCTAGTGGTTAACGCTGTGGCGTCTGAGGCGGTTGGTCCTTTGTTCCAGCTGAAGTAGAAACAACATTATCTGCTGACAGGTAGGTACATCCAAATAGGAGGGAATGTGCTTCATGGATTTCCACTGTTAGTCACTATCCATCAATAGACGGTAACTAGGGTTTTGGTTAAACCTGTTCTGTGTAAACATATCCATCACTTGGAAACCGAAGCATAACTGTTTTATCAGCCTCATCAGTGACATGCTTTCTGGGTGCATATGTCATAACCTTTCTACAGTTATTTCCTTTTGTATGAGGACCGTTATACTCACACTCGAAATTCCTAGTTACAAATGTAATGTGTACTCCTGAAACATATACCTAAGCAGCTCTCGGATCTTTAAATCATGCCGTATTCCACTAATACATAAATTTTCTTTTTTAACTGTCATGCAAACAATAAGCATAACTGTCTGCCTCTCAAAACTCTTAACATATTTTCTTTACCCTCTTCTTCATAATCAACTTGAGACTAAAACCTGCATAAATTTGTGAAGAATATTCAGTACTGCATTGAAATTGCTTATTGTAGATCTCATTTTTGATTAGCCTTATTTTCAGTCCGACTACTAAATGGATAAAAACTTCTTTTAGATCTTCTCATTTTAGATTATGTGACAAACAGCCTATATTTCTTTCTAAGCCTCTAGTTATTGCCTACTTCTTAGAAACAACATCCTCGTGAACATTTACACTTCTCTTTCTCTATCAACTAAGTGTATACTTCTTGTTTTTCGATGGTACATGATCGTCAAACCAATCAATTTGTTCAGTGTGTAAAAGCTGTGATGCTTCTAGAATATCCACACAGAATTATTCTATCAGCTGACTTGCTGATAATGTTTGCTTTTTAGTCCCGTAGAATACTGAGACCGACTTATATCTTTATAGATTTTGTGAAGTGCCTCGAGTGGGTAATTGAATGATTTATATGACCTTACTGGTGTGGTGACCATAATTTGTGTATGACAATTAACTTGTAAAGTCTGAGCAATAACAGTAATTCCGCTCTAGAAAGACTAGCTTTGTTTAGGTGTTATTGACTTGTTTTATTCAAAGGCAAGTTAACTCCATATGCATGTGTCTGATCTTCATGCATATTCTTGCGCCATACCACAACTTCCACATAGTATTCCTCAGCTGATAATGCGAAGTGGATGTCGATACAGAGTTAGATGTAGAAAAATACAGACACATTATCCAATGAACAAACGAATGGTACCAAGACCGGTGAACCTATTAGTAGGCTTTTTAGAAACAACTCACTTCTTACTATTTAAACTACCGATAACTTGTACGGATTTTATTCTCTGAAGAAGCAATTTCCACGATGTCGCGAAACCACAGAAATTTATTTGTCTACTTCATTGGGATTTTACAAAATATATTTCATTTATAACTCACTAACTAGTTTCTAAATTCTCAAAAGAAGGAACTGGTTGTGCAAGATACGAAATGTGTACATTATGACTCCAATTTAATCTACGATAGGTAATAATAATTTAGTTAGGTAACTAGGACGATTCAATAGCACCAACTAAGCAAAGTAATCTAATCTATCAAATTCCATGTCATGACCCCCAGGTCAAACACATAGATAAAACTAGCTGCTCGGGTCACTTACATTAACAAAACATAGGAATTTAGCTAAATATAGAATGACAGATCTCAATAAGATGAACAATCTAGAAGAAACTGGGATATTCCAATTCATGCATCAATACACAACCACACAATAGTTTGAGTGGGATAAAACCACTGTATTGTACTTAAGTCCAATATAATTAGATGGAGAGAGTGAGAGATTGGTTACTGAATCTTTGTTCATCGAATCAACACCCAACACATGTAGTAGGAATGAGGCAACACTTATACCAGAGATATGGAAAATTCTACTACAAGTAGAAACAAAGAATATGATGTGACAGGAGTATAGAAATCAGGTGTTGAAAGCAGTGCGATTACATTGATATGATTGTGAGCAATAATTGATGCTGGAAACGTTGTCATCAAGCAAATAATACCAGATCACTGTGTGTTATAAATCAAATATGGAAAGGTAACTGGGATGTCTTTAGTCTGATCCCTCATAGGAGTGACGGTGCATACCTATGAAAGGATCTTACTAAAATAAAATCCCTGTCACGAAAAGTTGTTTGCATGTTATGAGTGACACCATCTAGATCCTTTCATGATGAAACAGTTGCATCCTTGTTTTATCCTCAGCGTCACAAACTGTGTTTTACTTCCATTCCTACCACCTTTCTCTATGTCTTTCTGTACTCGGATCTACAGTGTGCAAATCTAAACAAATCTATGTATAGACAGTTTTCTCAGTAGATCAGATTTACTGTTTTAAATCACGTTTCCATAACTTTCTGTTTACTTTAAGCCATTGAGTAGTGTTGAAAAACCGCTTTGTAATGATGCCTTGTTGTCAATATGTTTTATTTACTGAGTTCAATATGTGAAAAACATTCATATATTAAATTTGAAAAATTATATCGCGTGAGAAAAACTAAAAACTATCTGAAGACAATAATAATAAAAAGGATGATGAATAGATATTTGTGATTATGATAACAGCTGAAGTATGAATGATAAAAAAGTAGATTGCACAATATATAGAGTGGTTCATAGGTGTATAACTCAGAAAGGGGTGGAAAAATTGATGAAAATGGCAAATCAATAAAGTATCACGTAATACGATTAGACAGGTTGGTCAAGAGGAAATCAATGTTTTCTAAAAAGATTAAGACAATGAAGTGAACTCACACGGGGAACTAATCAAAGTGAAGCCAATTATAATAACAATAATAGTGATAAAGGAAGGATACAGAGATTAAAATTAACAAGGGGGGGGAACTAATGGGGGTGGGGAAATGTTATGGCCATAATAAAAATAGTGACTGTACACACTTCTTTTGTACGCATAGATCATGAATGGCTGAAGCCACGGGGTTTTAAAGAGTTGAAAACGAAGAAAACGTGTGAGCTCTGGGTAAATTTGCTAAACAATTTTAAAGTCATTGTCTAGGTTTGTTGATTGATGGAAATCAATCAACTGTTCTAAAATCGAACTTCCAACAGACTTTCAATTTTATAAAATTAGACAGGAACATGTTTTGATATGCTAAGAAATAGGCTAACGTGTCTCGGTGGTGTAGTGGATAACGCCCTGGAGTTTGGAGCGATCGCTCCCGAGTCCGAATCCCAGTGGGGACAACATCACTCACTGGGAGGCAGGTACATCTAGCTGATGAGTCCCAAATACTACAAAATGAGCATCCTGGATTCCACTGCTACCCACTACCCATCATTACTATACATAATTGAAACAGGTACAGTTACAACAACGAATTCGACTGGGGTTAAACAGAAAGCCTATAAGCAAGGGATTCCAGAGTATTTTATTAGCATGTTCGAAACATCCCCTTTTCAGTAGATGAATGAACATGGAATTCACTTATAAGCTGACAAAAGTGAAACAGTCATAGATCATTTAGTCATCATCACTTGTTGATAACAAGTTCATAAAGTTACATATTACCATTTAGACTCATCTTACCCGGTCTAACTGGACTTAGGTGTAACCTGGAAGGTCAGATTGTGAGAACAATATCGTCACTTACCTTTAGTATAGTGATGTTTTAGGTCAATCATTTGCTGCTTACACATTAACGCATCTCAAATATGATTCAATTCTTTGAGTTAGTTTACTTTCCTAGCCTTTTGATCACAACTTCACAGTCAAGATATCAAAGCGTGGGAACCTGCAACAACTAAACATAGTTTATTGTATATGAATTCATTTGATATTGAATCAACTGGTCACGAACTTAATCAAAACGCACGGTTGTGAAAGGAATAAAGTTATTTTTCTTGATGTTATGGCTTGCGAATCTCTGTTGTTGATTGAACTGAACTTATCAGTTTCTTTTGGTATATGAGTTCATTTGCAAATGCCTCGATATCGTCGGTATTCTGAATTTTGATATTAATGCTGGATAGTGGAATCCAGGCCTGTTTGAGACTCATTAGCTGGATGTTGATATGAGAACAGTTACATCAAGTTAACGAGTCCTAAATAGGATGAGACTCACGTCCTGGATTCCACTGCTAGCCACAGTCCATCATTAAAGTTAACCCAGTACCAATCGCTCAAAACGCCAGAGCGTTATATACTAGGCGGCTGAGTCA